CACCCTTCTGAATTACTCGCTTCTCTTTGTTGACATCGTGGGCCCTCCCTGCTTAGGCGCGTTGGCCGGCAGTTGTTTTGCTGTTGGCCAGCTGTGTTGTCATCTCCTCCATCCCCATGAAACTCCCCTCACACTGTATTATTTACTGTAAAAACAATAATATAGCATCAGGCGAAGGCGTTTTTTAAAAATAAGCACTCCGAAGCTCATCATCCTAGCCCAACAGCTGTTTTAATTTTTCTGACTTTTTCACATCTCTGCCCATATGCCTGCAGTAGACATTTTTCCACCCTTGCATTGGGATGTAGAAAGCATTCTGTATGCTGCTTCATTTGCTTGGTGGTGTTACATGTGTTATGTTGTTTATAATTATGTTTATTGACTCTAGAAGTCCATTGAATGTCCCCATTTGGCTCGACTGTTTCCCTCCAGACCTCTATAATGATAAATAATACTATATTAAGAAATCTAGCACTTATAGTTCTTCCCTTCTCCCCCCACCCCGAGTTATTTCTTTAGGATAAAGAGTCAGGAGTGGTTGAAAAAAGGGATTTTAAATATATTGCTTTAAAAAATGGTCGTGCTAATTTATACCGCTACTGGCATCTCATGTTAATTTACACATGTTTATTAATTACGATAGGCTGGTAATGACTGTAGGCTGCGCAATTTGACTCATATCATCTCGTGTAACTCTCACACTTGCTCTTTAGGCGTTATAATTTACGTTTTTGTTTCTTTTTTTTGACAGAGTCTCACTCTGGAGTGCAGGCTGGAGTGCAGTGGCATGATCTTGGCTCACCGCTTCCTCTATCCCCCGGGCTCAAGCTATCCACCCACCTTAGCCTCCCAAGTAGCTGGGACTACAGGCATGCACCACCATGCTTGGCTCTAATTTTTATATTTTTGTAGAGAGATGAGGTCTCACTACTATGTTGCCCATGCTGGTGTCGAACTCCTGAGCTCAAGCGATCCTCTTGCCTCGGCTTCCCAAAATGCTGAGATTACAGGCATGAGCTATTGCACCCAGCCATAATTCCATTTTTTAGTGGAGGAACCTGACATCCACATTCAAAGGGGATTAAGTAACTTGCCTGAAGCCACAGAAGTATGGCCAGGTGCCATGGCTCACACCTGTAATTCCAGAACTTTGGGAGGCTGAGGCACGTGGATCACTTGAGCTCAGGAGTTTGAGACCAGCCTGGGGCAACATGGTGAAACCCCGTCTCTACAGAAAATACAGAAAATTAACCGGGGGCATGACGTTATGTGCCTGTGGTCCCGGCTACTCAGGAAGGTAAGGTGGGAGGATTGTTTGAGACTGCAGTGAGCCAGTAATAGCACCACTGCCCTCCAGCCTGGGTGACAGTGAGACTCTGTCTCAAAAAAAAAAACAAACACAAACAAATAAACAAAGAATAAAAATAACTAATGAGGGGTGGAGATAGGATGTGAACTTGGGTGTACCAGATCCCAGTCCAAAGCTCCTCCTGTGAAAAAAAGTTGAACATTTCAGGGTTATTGCATCTTGTTAAGCCTTATTAAAGTCAACACATGGTGGCCTAATTCAACAGCTGTTAAATGTTATCCTCATTGTTTTAATGTGCATTTTGACCTCTGATCTCTGAGCGACCTGTAGCCCTGTGTAATTTAGAGGGATGGGGCTTTGAGGTCCCCAGATTCTGTTTTGTCAATGTGTGTTGACAGTTGAAGAGAGTGTGTCTGGGTGCCAGATGGTTTTTAGAAACATGGAGAAACTCATGGATTCACACCCCTCAATCAACATACCAGTCTGTAGGCAACAAACTATTTGAGCTCCCTGGATCTGTCCAGATATGATCAGGGTAGGGAGGAAGAAAAAAGAGAAGCGGACCTTCTTTTCAAAGAGCCCTCAGTCTACCTGGGTAGATGGGAGGTAGCACAGTTGTTGAAGAATGAGATGCCTAAGTCTGAAGTTGGGAGTTTCATCCTCCACAGTTGCTATCTTGGACCCTGTAAGGTGATTTTTAAGAAGCTTGAGTAGGTTGCCAGTATTTAAAAATCTGGAGATTTCACATGAAAATCGGAATTTCTGGCTCCTCTTGAAAAATGGGAGGATCTGGCAACCGTGGACCTGTAGTCCTGCTTGGCAGCAGTCATCTAGAGGTGAGCAGTAGCTGCCACTTTTGGATGGGACATCTACTGTCCTGTTTGCCATGGTCTTCACCCAGCATAGGTCTGCTGTTTACATGGAACTTCTCCTGCCCTTCTGTAAATGCTGCAGGAGGTCTAGGAAGCAGAGTGCTTCTGCCAAGCCCTAGAGGCTGGAAAGGAATGTAGGGCTGCATTCCAGGGGGTGGGGATGGTGTGAGCCGAGCTGCAGGGAACAGAGAGCCACTCCCAGTACTGCAAATAAAGCAGTGGTACCTTGGCTCTTGTAGACTCCCAGGACAGTGCACACAGGGCAGCCAGGACCACAGCCAGAGAGTCGGAGAATAACGCGAGGACCTCTGGGAAAGATGGCAAGTGAGCACACCCCAGATCTGACCCTCTGGTGCAAACGTAGAAGAATGATGGCTTAAAACAAAACTACATTAAAAAAATCAGAAAAATCTCTATGGGCCAGGAATGGGAGAGAAAACCTAAGTGTGGTGAATGGGCTTGCAGCCTACAGTACCCAGGATACAGGGAGCAGTGGCAGCCAGCCCCTCAGTGTCCATATGGGATGGGATTTGGGTGGGCCCTGCTTGTGCGGAGAAGGGAGCCAGTCAGGAGGCAGGCTTTGTTCCTAGTGAGTGCTGAAATCTCTCTTGGATGGCTCCATATATAACTGGAGACATGCTGCTTGTGTGCATTCCAGGGAAGAAAGGAAACCTTCTGGGTGGAAACAGAAACTTGTTATTGTGCTGTACTTGGGGCCAGAGTTGGAAACTGTGTTACCGGTGCACTCCCAAGATAGGAGCAGCCTGGGCAAATGCTTCCCTTTGTATCTTCTTCATAAGGGGAATTCTGAACAAATTAATCACACAAAAAATGCCACGAGGGGCTGGGCGTGGTGGCTCAAGCCTGTAATCCCAGTACTTTGGGAGGCAGAGACAGGAGGATCAATTGAGCCCAGGAGTTTGAGATGAGCCTGGGCATCTCAGCAAGACCCCATCTCTACAAAAAATATACCAATTAGCTGGGCTTGGTGGCACGTGCCTGTAGTGCCAGTTACTTGGGGGACTGAGGCAGGAGGATCACTTGAGCCAGGGAGATCAAGGCTGCAGTGAGCCGTGATCCTGCTACTGCACTCCAGCTTGGGTGACAGAGCAAGACCTTATCTCAAGAAAAAAAAAAAAAAAAGGCTCCTTGGGGTTGTACTTATTCTTCTTCAGAGATTTTGTAGCGGTGCTTTTTCACCTGTTCATTAAGGGATGCTGAGGTCCCTCTAGCTGGGGACACTTTGCAGGCCCTCACAGAACTTGAGAGTAGTGAAACTACACTTGACGGAATCAGGGTGCAAGAGAGAAAAGGATCATTTGGCACAATCTTGGTGTCTTCCCTCATTTTACTGATCCAGAGATTGAGGCCCAGAGATTTGCCCAAGATCACACAGCTGGTCAATGCAGGTGCAGGACTATGGGCTGAGCCCGGAGCTCCATCTGGCATTTGCTTCAGAAGCCTTGGCTTGGCTTTTCTTTCCTTTTCTTTCTTTTTTTTTTTTTTTGAGACAGGGTCTCACTGTGTCACTCAGACTGGAGTGCAGTGGTGCGATCATGGCTCACTGCAGCCTCAACCTCCCAGGCTCAAGCAATACTCCTGCCTCAGCCTCCTTGGGCATATGTATGTGCCACCATGCTCAGCTAATTTTTGTGTTTTTAGTAGAGATGAGGTTTCTCCATCTTGACCAGGCTGGTCTCAAACTCCTAACCTCAGGTGGTCTACCTGCCTCTGCTTTCCAAAGTGCTGGGATTACAGGCGTGAGCCACTGTGCCCAGCCTATTATTATTATCATTATATAATAGATTGTGCTTCCGTTTTTGCTTTGACAGCCAGGGAACCCACCACTGAATTTGAACCTTATCTTTAGACCTCCACATAGGACCTAATGTCATGTATTTCTTTTCTGTTTCCCTGTCATTCCCTGGCTTTATTTAACTATTTGGCTCTCATTCCCCTCATTACCCTGATTTCTGTATGTTATTATATTATATGTATTACTATACATTGTTTCAGAACAAGTTTGGAATTAATACCTTAAGAAAAATGTATCAACAGTTTGATTCAGACTGGCCTGTTGTATGTAGTCCAGGGTGATCTTGAATAAGGAGGTGAACTATGCTATTAAAAATGAATTAATGGCCAGGTGCGGTGGTTCACGCCTGTAACCCAAGCACTTTGGGAGGCTGAGGTGGGCGGATCACTTGAGGAGTTCAAGACCAGCCTGGCCAACATGGTGAAACCCTGTCTCTACCAAAAATAAAAAATTAGCCAGGTGTGGTGGTGTACGCCTGTAATCCCAGCTACTTGGGAGTCTGAGGTGGAAGGATTGCTCGAACCTGGGAGGTGGAGGTTGCAGTGAGCCTAGATCGTGCCATTGCATTCCATCCTGGGTGACAGAGTAAGCCTCTGTCTCAAAAAAAAAAAAAAAAAAAAAGCAAATATTTTTGAGAGCTTATTGTATATTAGCCATTGTCATGCATCCTTTGTGTGTATTTCCTTAAACCTTACAATGATCCTATGAGGCAGGGCCTATTATCTTTCCATTTTGTAGTTGAGGAATCTAAGGATCAGAGGGGTGAAGTGATGTAGCCAGCAGTTGCCAGCTGCAAGTGGCAGAGCCAGGATTCAAATGTAGGCCACCTGACTCCAGAGCACACACTTACTTCCTGTTTGATGTTCTTTGGGAGGGGCCCCCTGAGCTCTTGGGGGCAATGAAGGGATGATTTCAGGCAGCTGACTCATGCTTTTTCTCCCTGTTCTTCCTCTTCTCTTCCCATTTCTTCTAACCTCTTCTCTCTGCTTCCTGTGTTCTCCAGAGCCCATGAGGGCCCCCAAAGGCCTGGCTTTTGCTGAGATCCAGGCCCGCCAGCTGACCCTGCAGTGGGAACCACTGGGCTACAACGTGACGCGTTGCCACACCTATACCGTGTCGCTGTGCTATCACTACATCCTGGGTAGCAGCCACAACCAGACCATCCGAGAGTGTGTGAAGACAGAGCAAGGTGTCAGCCGCTACACCATCAAGAACCTGCTGCCCTATCGGAACGTTCATGTGAGGCTTGTCCTCACTAACCCTGAGGGGCGCAAAGAGGGCAAGGAGGTCACCTTTCAGACGGATGAGGATGGTAAGAGTCTCAGCCCCAATTCCCAAGGCCCTGTGTGCCTTCCATAGATACGCCATGTCTGAGACTGAAATTTACTGAGGGTATTTTTTTTTTTTTTTTGCTTAGGATTAAACCAACTGTATAACACCAAAGTAATGATAGCTCCTGTTTATTCTCTGGAAGACTTTGGGTTAGATTGGTCTACTTTCTTTCCTTAAGTGTTTGAAAGAATTCAGCAGTGAAGAAGCCATTTGGGCATAGAGTTTTCTTTGTGGCAAGATTTTTAGTAAATTTTAATTTTTAAAATGGATACTGGGATATTCAGATTTTTTATTCTTGTATCGGTTTAGATGGACTGTGGTTTTTTTTTTTTTTTTTGAGATGGAGTCTCACTCTGTTGCCCAGGCTGGAGTGCAGTGGCACTATCTTGGCTCACTGCAAGCTCCGCCTCCCGGGTTCACACCATTCTGCTGCCTCAGCCTCCCGAGTAGCTGGGACTACAGGCACCTGCCACCATGCCTGGCTAATTTTTTGTACTTTTAGTAGAGATGGGGTTTCACTGTATTAGTCAGGATGGTCTTGATCTCCTGACCTCATGATCAGCCCGCCTTGGCCTCCCAAAGTGCTGGGATTATAGGTGTGAGCCACTGCGCCTGGCCCGATGGACTGTGTTTTTTAAAGCAATTTGTTCATTACACCTAAATTGTCAAATTTCTTGAGATAAAGTTGTTTATAATATTTATTTATTTAGAGACAGAGTCTTGCTCTATTGCCCAGGCTGGAGTGCAGTGACACCATCTTCTTTGACTTAAGAGTTACTTAGATTTATGTTGCTTAATTTCTAAGCAATTGGGACTTTTCTTTTTTATTTGTTTTTGAGACACAGTTTCACTCTGTCACCCAGGCTGGAGTGCAGTGGCGCAATCTTGGCTCACTGCAAACTCTGCCTTCTGGGTTCAAGCGATTCTTGTGCCTCAGCCTCCTGAGTAGCTGGGATTACAGGCGCCTGCCAGCACGCCTGGCTAACTTTTGTATTTTTAGTAGAGACAGGGTTTTGCCATGTTGGCCAGGCTGGTCTCGAACTCCTGACCTCAGGTGATCTGCCCACCTTGGCCCTGCAAAGTGCTGGGATTATAGGCATGAGCCACCACACCTGGCCAGCAATTGGGACTTTTCTAATTGTCTTTTTATTATTGATTTCTCGGTTACTTCCACTGTACTCAGAGTATATACTCTAAATTTTATCTTTTGAAATTTGATCCTTACTTTATGGCCCAACATATCGTTTAATTTTGGTAAACATTCCATGTGTATTTGAAAAGAACATGTATTCTGTTGCTGTTGAATGCAGTGTTCTACATATGTCAAACTAATATTTAGCCCTTAGTACATGTCAAGCACCATTCTAAATGGTTTTAATATATTACTGCATTTAATAGCCATGACAACCCTATGTGGTAGGTTACTGTTTCCATTCCCATTTTACAGAAGAGGTCACATGACTAGTAGAGAGGTAGCAGAGCTGGCTTTCTAACCTGGCCATCTGGCTTCACAGTTGTCATTTTTTTTTTTTTTTTTTTTTTTTTGAGACTGAGTCGTGTTCTGTTGCCCAGGCTAGAATGCAGTGGTACAATCTCAGCTCACTGCAACCTCTGCCTCCTTGGTTCCAGCGATTCTCCCACCTCAGCCTCTTGAGTAACTGGGATTATAGGCGCCTACCACTATGCCAGGCTGATTTTTTGTATTTTTGGTGGAGACGGGGTTTCAGCATGTTGGCCAGGCTGTTCTTGAACTTCTGACCTCAAGTGATCCGCCTGCCTCGGCCTCCTAAAGGTGCTGGGATTACAGGCGTGAGCCACTGCGCCAACAAGTTGTCATTCTTAAGAGCTACACTCGAATACTAGCACAGGTCCTAAGCCTTCCCCTGGGTTCCTACAGATCCCAGGTACCCCCAAGCTCCTTGGCTTTGTCTTGCTGCTGCACGTGCATAGTTTTCTGTTCTGCACAGCATTGGCCTAGACGAAAAATTCAGCTCCTTCCTTAGTTTCTGCTTTTCTCTTCCTTAGGACTTCAGCTTCCCCGTAGTGGTTTATCAAGGTGTTTTCCCAAGCAAAGACCATTCTCTTCCTAAATGACACTCCTGTGCCTGGCATTAACAGTATACCTTTACACAAAAGCAAAGCAAAACAAAGCCATGCCTGCAAGTGTTAATGCTGAAATGTTAACAGTATCTCTGGGTGATACAATTGTAGATGCCATTAATTTTCTTTAAGCTTATTTTGGTTTTCTACATTGAACATGTCATTTATGTAATTAGAAATTTTTAGACAAGAAAATATCTCCACCCATAATCCCAATACCCCAGTGCAATTGCTGTTTTCATTTCTCTGGCACACGTGCATATTTTCTGAAAACTACCCAACTGGAACAAAATTGGAACCTTCAAACGTATTTCTCTCCTGAATGCAACCTACACAGTAATGAAAATGCCAGCTATCCATTTTGAGTACTAATAGGTTGAACCATATGCAATTGCTGATGTTTGCCTTGGGGCTTTATGTACATCACATCATTGAGTCTTGGCTTGAGAGGGGTTATATCATCCCCACTTCACAGCTGAGTTAAGTAAGGTGCAGAGAGGCTAAGTAGTCTGTGAGAACCAGATGGGAAGTGGCAAGCCTGGAATTTAAACCCAGGTGTCTGGCACCAAAGCCTACTTTCCCTTGACCCCTGCCACCTTTCCCTTGCAGTGCCCGGTGGGATTGCAGCCGAGTCCCTGACCTTCACTCCACTGGAGGACATGATCTTCCTCAAGTGGGAGGAACCCCAGGAGCCCAATGGTCTCATCACTCAGTATGAGGTGGGTTTGGGACCCTATTACAGTGGGGGACCCTGGTGGAAGGTGAGAGGTGACCCTCTTTCTCTCTGCTGCTACAGTAGGAGGTACATGGGAGGACAGATGTAATTGTCATAGTTTCTTCAACTATGGCCAGGTCTGTGCCCTGTGAATTCTAGAGAAGGGTCCTGAAGGCAGGAGGGAGAGGCGAAGATGACTAGAAGCCTGGCTTGATGGCATCCACTGTCTCCTTTGCTTAGCCTTATCTCTCACTTCCCTGGAACATGGTGGGTGGAGGCTGCTGGTCAGGGATGCTCTGCCCTTCCTGTGCCCACCTGCCTGCCGATCCTGCCCCCAGATCAGCTACCAGAGCATTGAGTCATCAGACCCGGCGGTGAACGTGCCGGGCCCACGACGTACCATCTCCAAGCTCCGCAACGAGACCTACCACGTCTTCTCCAACCTGCACCCTGGCACCACCTACCTATTCTCCGTGCGGGCCCGCACAGGCAAAGGCTTCGGACAGGCAGCACTCACTGAGATAACCACCAACATCTCTGGTAAGCCCCACATGACCCGGCCCATCCTCTTTGGAGGTGACCCAGAATCCCAGGGTTCCATAGGCAGAGGGGAAATGGGGGGCATGGCAGGGGTAGTTACAGAGGGCCCCTGCTGAGAAGAATATGCTGTTTAGGAGTTAAAGTCAGGCTCAGGAAGGATGAAGTCAGAGGAGTCAGGAGACTGTGGTCAGTGGAATCAGAAGGTTGAGGTTGGGGCTGGTGCCTGAGGTCAGAGGCCAGGGTAGCTCAGGTCATGTCAGCAGGAACAAAGAGGCTAAGGTTAAAGTAGGGGAGATCTGAGGACTGTGGTCAAGGAGGCTGGAAGCCTGGTCTTCCTGGTCCAGTGGCCAAGCTCCATGCTTATGATCCTGTCTCCTTCCCCAGCTCCCAGCTTTGATTATGCCGACATGCCGTCTCCCCTGGGCGAGTCTGAGAACACCATCACCGTGCTGCTGAGGCCGGCACAGGGCCGCGGTGCACCCATCAGGTGGGAAAGCGGGGACGGAGGGATGGGAGGCCAGGGCCATGGGGAAGAGTCCCCTCCTCTGACCCAGAGCCCCAACCCAGGCCAGCTCACCCTTTTCCTCCCTCAGTCTCCCGTGCAGGGCTCGGAGTGTCTGGAGGAGGATGTTCTGTGATGCTTGGCAGGCGAGAAGCCTGCAGTCTCTCCCCTCTGAGGCCATGGGTCTTAGATGGTAACTGTCAGGAGGACCCTGGATAGGTCCAGCCTGGAGAGGGGACTGTCCAGGTCTGTCCAGGGGGCCTTTCCTCAGACACCTTGGAGAAGTGAAACTCTGGGGACCTTATATCATCCCAGCCTTTTCCTGGAAGCCCATAGAGATGGGCTTTCTAGACGGCTAGGGCAGCCAGCCAGACAGGGCCATCTCTCTGGAATGGCTAGGGGCTTGGCTTCTCCCCCTCATCTCCCCAGAGGAAGCTGGGCTTGCTGGTGCCGTGGTGACTGCCTCTGCTAGGGAGAGTGTGTTGGAGACAAGACTGTGTGTGTTTGTGTGTGTGTGTGTGTGTACATGGGATGGGAACCTGGGTGTGTCTTTATGATAAAGACATGGGATGTGTGGTGTGTGAGAAGTACGTGTGGGAGACATAAGTGTGCATGTGTGAGAGCATGAGGGCGTTTGTGCAAGTGTGTGCACGTACTGTTAGACCCTGTGCTAGGGGCTTTATCTGCATGAAGCCATTTATGCTCATGGCAGTCCCATGGAATGGGTTTTATTACCTTCATTTTACGTATCAGGAAACTGACTCAGAGAGCCTAAATCACTTGCCCCCAAGGCCACACTGCTAGTCAGTGGTGGAGCTGGGATTTGGAAGCCAGGTCTGTCTGCTGTGCCTGTACCTTTTCTAGAAGTTATAGAGCCTCCCTGCCCTTCTGGTCCACTCCTTCTTTCCACGAAGGTACATGTTCTGGGAAAGGGTGACAGCCTTTAGGTGGGGGAGGGGGGTGTGAGGATCCTAGTCAGTTCACCAGGAAGAGAGTGGGCTGCCCGGGTGACCGTGGCAGTCCCTCACCTCCTCACCCCCCACCACTGGATCCTCTCCTCTTCTGCTTTCTCTTTCCTGTATTTGCCACTGCAAATCCTGCCCTGGGCTGATTCCCAGACCCTCAAGGAAGACCCGGGAAAAAGTCACGGTGTCTGCAGGGTCTTTTGCCTTTTGCTGGAGCCTCAGGGCCCTTGTGCCGCTGAGTCTGGGAGGGGTTGAGAACCCTTCCTTCCTTGTCCTCCTGAGGGATCCTGTGAGCAGCACTGGTCAGGGTCTCTCAGGATGATGATTTCAAGGCTAGGTGGGGGCAGGGGATGGGACTTGGTGGGAGGGGAGCGGCAAGATGGCTGCGTGACCCTGGGCATATCCCGTTACCTTCCTGAGCCTCCGTTTCTTTATCTGCACAATGAGGATTATTCTAGATTAAGATGCACTTTGTTCCTGTTTAATGTTAATGATTACCTCCCAGTGGGACTTAGGGCTAGGAGAGGGCTGACCTTAGCCTGGGGTAATAGAGGCTGAGAGGGGCTTGGACTGGTGTTTATAATGGGCTAGTGACAAGCCATGGGCTGGTGTCCAACACTCTGGGATGATTCCCCACAACCTGGACGCTCAAAAGAAACATCTGGTGAACAAGGAAAAGGCATTTCTGCTTCCCTGAGCAGAGGCTGTCAGTATGGGATGTCACACACCAAGATGTGACCGAGACTGTAACTGGAAATATTTAAATTTGTCAGCATTCACGTATTTACTCTCCAGTTTGTTCTGCAGAGGATTTGGAGGAGCTCATAGCAGAAACCTACTTAGTAAAGAGAGAAAACAGACACACAGTCCAGGACCAGGGAGCATGAACCAGAGTGGGTAGTCAGGATCCTGAGACAGCAAGGCTCTGGTTTGCTGATCAGAGGCTGCCTCGGCATTGAGAGGGTGCTAGAGACATAGTGTTGGGAGTCCTTGTTTGCTAAATGACTGTCTCTCACTAGAGGTCAGTTTTAGGAAGCCCGGATGCCTAGTGTCTAGCACAGGGCTCATCATCTGAGCTTGGTCAACTCTGAATGAATGAATGAATGAATGAATGAATCTGGCTAACCCTGTCATTTACTGAGTCCCAGAAGGGAGCTGTCAGTCGCTTTGGTTTCCCAGGTCTTATGTCACACAGGAGGACTCATGGAGGAAGCAGGATGGGGCCTTATGGCTTCGTTCTATTGAGCAGGGTCCACAATCCTCTTAGCCTGGATTAGTAACAGGAATAACCGCTGACATGCGCTGGCTGCTTGCTTAACTTGCCTATTCTTCCCATCTACCTTCTGGAACAGTCTCACAATCACTAGCATTTTATGAAGGAGGAAACCGAGGCCCAGGGAGGTTAGGGGATTTGCCCAGCTAGTAAGAGGCAGTGTGGAAGTTAGTCCCCAGGCTTTGACCACAAAGCCCATGCCTTTAACTGCCAGCTGGCTCTCCCAGTGCTCTGGCCGCCTGTGATCCCCTGTACGCTCTCCTCCCTGTTCAGTGTGTACCAGGTGATTGTGGAGGAGGAGCGGGCGCGGAGGCTGCGGCGGGAGCCAGGTGGACAGGACTGCTTCCCAGTGCCACTGACCTTTGAGGCGGCGCTGGCCCGAGGCCTGGTGCACTACTTCGGGGCCGAACTGGCGGCCAGCAGTCTACCTGAGGCCATGCCCTTTACCGTGGGTGACAACCAGACCTACCGAGGCTTCTGGAACCCACCGCTTGAGCCTAGGAAGGCCTATCTCATCTACTTCCAGGCAGCAAGCCACCTGAAGGGGGTGAGGGACCGGCCAGGGTCATGGTGGGCGTGGTTGGGTGTGGGGGATGGCAGACAGGGGATACCTTGCAGCAGGCCCAGCACAGACTCCACGCCCAGCCCTTCCCTTAGCCCCACCTCCCATAGCCCCACCTTCCATAGCCCCACCTTCCATAGCTCCTCCTCCCATAGGCCACCCCCATGGCCTTACCTCCCGTAGCCCCACCTTCCATAGCCCTGCCCCCACAGCTCCTCCCCCATAACCTTGCCCCTCCCATAGCCCTGTCTCCTTTTGCCCACCTCCCATTGCCCCACCTCCAATAGCCTTACCTTCCGTAGAGCCACCCCCACAGCCCTGCCTCTCACAGCCCCTCTCCCATAGCCCTCCTTCCCATAGCCCCTCCCCCATGGTCCCACCCCTCCCATAGCCAACCTTCCAGACCCCAGGCTCCTTCTCACAGAACACTATCCACTTCCTGAGCTTTCTTTCCCAGGCTCCTCCTTTCTATCCAGGTCCCCAGGCTAGTCTCTGCCCCTTCCTGAGGCCCTGCCTTCTATCTTAGATACTTCTTTTCCTGGAGGAGTCCATCTCAGGTTCCCGAGTTCCTGTGTTAAGGCCTAGGACCTGCTCCTCCCTGAAGCCCCGCCCTATCTTCCAGGCTCCTCTCTCTGTTTCTTGCCTGTTTTCTCACTTCCTAGCTGGACTTCTGGCCCTAGGCCTTTCCCCGTTGTCCGAGGCCCCGCCCATTTCCCCATGACGTTTGTTTCTCTTTTGCCTCCGATCTCATCCCCCTTTCCTAAGGCACTGCAGGTGCCTCCCCTCTAGGCCCCGCTCTCAAGGGTCCCCCCAGGCCTGCCTTCGGGTGGGGTGTCCCTTGATGCCATCAACGCCAGACAAAGCCCTGAACAGGCCCAAGAAAGCTGTCTGAGGTTCCCACCCTGGGGAGGGAGAGGTCGGGGCTTCAGCAGCGCTGAGACCCCCATCTGTGCCTCCAGGAGACCCGGCTGAATTGCATCCGCATTGCCAGGAAAGGTAAGTCCGCTGGGTTCCTGCAGCCCTTCAGCGGCAGGTTTCTCACCTGCCCAGCGCTGGGGAGGTGGATCCTGAGAACCTAGGGCTGTGGGAGTAGAGGAGGGTGGTTGGGCAGGCTGGGGCCAGGAAGGGCTTCTCTGCTGGGTTTCCATGTGCCTTACCTCAAGGGCGCCAGCTCCCAGGCTGACAGCAGGGGCCTGGAGCAGGCTTGTGGAGAGGAGCCATTACAGTTGTGCCCTGGGGGCGATGGGTACTGGGTGCTGGTTCTGGGTTACATATCTGCCCGGCTTTCCTGTGGTGGGGGAGAAGGTGAGGTCAGCATGGGCCCTGTGCTGTAGGTGTCTTTCATGCTTTCACACAGGGAATGTGGTTGGTTTCCCATCCTGAGATGGACTAACCATGCCCTAGGTACACAATTCCTAATCCCTGTTACCTCCCAGGAGGGCAAGAGGGTGGGGCTGAAGGCCCAGGTGTCTGCTCTCCCCTATCTACTGAGAGCTGAGAGGACCTGAGAAAGTGGGGAGTGACGGAAGCTATTCCTGGCAAAGGAGCCATGTCAGTGAGGACTGTGGCGTGGAAGTGCAGGAGGTGTCAGGGATGGTGAGGAGGTAGATTTGCTGGAAAGGCAGGACATGTGTTGAGGATGTGGGGTGGTTTGTGCAGCCCAGTTTGTTCCTTGGGCACAGACACCTACAGGAGGGGCTCGATGGTCCCTGTCTCTCCTCTGATCCCTTGTTCTGCTTTGTTCTCCCCAGCTGCCTGCAAGGAAAGCAAGCGGCCCCTGGAGGTGTCCCAGAGATCGGAGGAGATGGGGCTTATCCTGGGCATCTGTGCAGGGGGGCTTGCTGTCCTCATCCTTCTCCTGGGTGCCATCATTGTCATCATCCGCAAAGGGTGAGTGAGGCCAGTGCCCTGTCCCACCAGTGGCTTCTACCCCTTAGAGGCCTGGTGGCATAGAGGAGTAGTGGCTAAGAGCTGGTAGGACGGCTGTCCTGCAGGTGTGTGGAGGGCTGCCAGCCTGGGCATCAGCTCTGCAGACGGATCTGAGCTGGGTGGTGGGAAGCCAGAGACTGGGCAGATGGGGCTGCCCCGGAGTGGCATGGCTGGAGTAAGGTCTGGCTGGTGCCAGGTGCTGCTGTTCAGGAAGGGGCGCTCAGTGCCTGGTGCCAAGGAGCTATGCCTGCTGGGACTCTTTCAATAGGGACGGCATGGAGGTGACCTGGCTTTGAACCCCTACCCCTCTGCAGACCTTCAGCCAAGCTGTCTGCCCTGCTCATGGATTGTGCAGTTGACCTGAGCAGGGGATGGAGCTCACTCCTCTTTAACCCAAGGGCCCTGAGCCATGTCTCTTCCTGGGACCCACCTTCTCTCAGGCTCAAATTGCCCTGGACCCTGTTACTGTGGATCCTTGAGGAACCCTCCTGGACCTGTGACTGAGAAAACTCTCCACCTGCTTCCCCTACTGTCCCTCAGGTCTCAAAGGTCCAGCCTTGTGTTTGCACGAAATGTGTTTCCTAGCAGATTTGCAGAGGGCAGCATAAATCCCAGGACATTGTAGAATCCAGAACCTAGGATCTTGCAGTTTCAGAAATGTAGGATTTAGGACTCTAGGAATCTTAGGCTTTAGAATTGTAGAGGCTCAGAGCCCCAGAACGTAAGAGCTGCCGGATAGTTCAAGGCCATCTAGTCTAGTGGTTTTCAAATCTTTTTAAAGAAACAGAACCTGCCTTCAAAACACCAGAAAACCCTTCCCTGGGAGCCTAGTACATGGAGCAGATGAAGGCTGAGCAGCAGTGCTGGTCGGAGGCTGGGTGGGGGCTTCTGGGACCTTTCTGCTTGCCAGCTCTGCCCCACCATGTTCCCCACCAGGCAGCTGTGGGACACTGTGGTCCAAGCACCTTAAATGAGGGATGGGGATGCTGAGGCCTAGAGGGGATGCAGGGCTGCCCAAGGCCACCCAGAGAGCCAGAGGCAGAGCCAGCTCCACCCTTCCCCACCTGGGCTCTGGCTTCTATAGCCCCTACTGCTGCCAGGCTGGGTATACGTGGATGAGTTGGCTATATCTCTGGGCTGCCGGGAGCAGATAATAGGATCCAGGAAGATGAGAGAGAGCTGGCTGGGGCTACCTTGCCTGAGGCCAGACACCAGCAACAGAGAGAGAGTCTAGGGGTGGAGTGTGCAGTGGAGTGGAGGAGATGTGGGGGGATGGCCCAGTCAGGGCGATACTCTCTGATTTTTCCTCTCATTGTTCCTGCACAGCTTTAAGAGAGACTATTTTAAAGTATCATTTAATGAGGAATTACACATCATCCAGGAGTACATTAGTTATTAGACACCTACTGTGTACCAGGCACTCGGGATGTGTCAGAGAACATTTCCTTCTTGGATCTTGACTGACTCCCTTTTTTCTGGATGAAGAAATTGTAATGAAAGCATTCGCCCAGGCCACTTGGCTGATGGGCAGTAGGGCCTGACTTCAACTCAGGCTCGCCTACAAATGTGAAGGCGTCACCCAGTCTGGTACATAGGCGGTGCCCCCAAAGTGGCAAGCCCCTGACTTCTCCCCAGCAGGGGGGCCTGAGAATTGACTCTAAGTAGGGCTGGGGCTGGAGAGGCCTATAATGGAGGAGGCAGATTTCAGTTTCAGGTGGTATTTGAGGTTCTAGAAATCTACCCTCAATGAGAAGAGGATTGGCAGAGTAGGGGGTGTCACCCACCCCTGCAAAGAGAGCACTGGGCCCAGGACAGGGTGGATCAGAAATGTTGTCAGGGCCTCACTAGGAGACCTTCCATTATGTATTTGCTACCCTGTAAACCCAGGTTATCCCAGATGCCTCCAGGAACCCCTCATCCCCCATCACCCCGGACCTCCTTACTTCCTCTAAAAGCCATTCAGTCTCACTGTGTAGCACCTACTGCATCCCCCTGGATCTGAGCCTGGCCTTCAAGGCCCTCCGTGTTCCCCAAGGCTCTTGCAGTCTGCATTGTGGGTATCATGGGATGCAGCAGCCCTGGCAGGGATGGGGGTATTCAGATCAACTTGGGGTACCAACATAAGTAACAAGAGTAGGAGGTTGCTGAGGAGGGCAGTTACTACACCCCCGTGGAGCCTTATTGGAGGCAGGAGGGAGACCCAGGGGGATTATGGGAAATGGAGGCCAGCTGGGAGGAGATTTCAGATTCTCCATCCTGCCCTGCCTCTGTGGACGATCAGACTGGATGCATCTGCTGTAGGGGAATTCCAGGGCCTGGAAGGGAGGCTGGTGACCCCAGGCCAGGTCAGATCCCCCGGCTCTGCTTTCAGAAGTCCCCATACCCCACCCTTCTCCATGGCAGCACTTCCTTCTCCCTGCACTTTGTCATTTACTTACTTGTAGTGTTTTGCTCAATGTTTGTCTTCCCTCCTGGGTTAACAGCTCCATGAGGGCAGAGAAAGCCCTGTCTTGTCTGTGTATACCCACGATCTAGCCCAGGGGAGTCAGGTCTCCCCACTCTGAGGTGTAGGGAGGAGTGGTTTGTGGGCACTGCTGGGTGCTTCCTGGTGCTGGGGCCTCACAGCAGTCCCTGTGGGAGATTATTATTAACCTCACTATGTATGTATGTATGTGTTTTTTTTTCTTTTTTTTCTTTTTGAGACGGAGTCTAGCTCTGTTGCCCAGGTTGGAGTGTAATGGCATGATCTCGGCTCACTGCAAGCTCTGCCTCCCGGGTTTCCGCCATTCTCCTGCCTCAGCCTCCTGAGTAGCTGGGACTACAGGTGCGCACCACCACGCCTGGCTAATTTTTTTTTTTTTTTGGTGTTTTTAGTAGAGATGGTGTTTCACCATGTTAGCCAGGATGGGTATGTATGTATTTTTTGAGACAGAGTTTTGCTCTTGTTGCCCAGGCTGGAGTGCAGTGGTGTGATCTTGGCTCACTGCAACCTCCGCCTCCTGGGTTCAAGTGATTCTCCTGCCTCAGCCTCCTGAGTAGCTGGGATTACAGGCACCCGCCACCACACCTGGCTAATTTTTTGTATTTTTAGTAGAGACGGGGTTTCATCATGTTGGTCAGGCTGGTCTCGAACTCCTGACCTCAGGTGATCTATCCGCCTTGGCCTCCCAAAGTGCAAGGATTATAGGTGTGAGCCACCACGCCCACCTTAACCTCACTTTTTAAAGAAGAAAGTGGAATCGCATGGAGGTGAAGTTCTTTTATTTATTTTTACTCATTTATTGATTACTCCATTCAACAAAATATTTATTGCGGGATTGTAATGTGTGGGGCCCTGGGGAAACCGAGGGAGACAAAAAGACAAGGATTCTGTCCTCCTGTACTTTGTAGCCAGTGGAGAGCCTGGCATGAAATTAGAAAAAAGCACAAATGGATGAGATAATTACAAATTGTGAAAAGAACAAGGTGCTGGGTGTTGGGAGCAAAGAGAATATAGGAGACATCATGTAGCTGGCACTCATGGGAGAGTGGTCCGGGAAGGCCCTTTTGAAGGCACAATGTGTCAACTGAGGCCAGAAAAATGCCATTTCTTCAGCCGTGGCCTCCCTCTTGGGGCCTCTGCAATAGCTCCAGCGCCCTAGACCCTGCCTTCTCTCCCTGGGATGGAGGAGATGTGCTCTGTGACCTGGGGCCTAGCGGCTGCCTTTGCTGGTCCGTCTTCCACTCTCCTCCCCTTCATCTGCAGGATTTCCTGTGGAAGGTCATTCTTTGGGGTCCCTGCTGACAGGGTGATGTAGGGGCAAGTGAATGGAGACCTCTGGAGAGCCTGGGAGGGGAGCACAAAGGAGGTTCCAGGGCCAGGGTCCTGGGGCAGGTGTTTGCTCTGGACTCTTCCACTGACTCCCAGAGAGGCCCAGGCAGCCCATGCTCCCTGACTCAGCTTCCCCGCCTGTGAAATGGGAATCCAACCTGCTTTACACTGTGGGTGCTTTGTGGTAAGGTAGGGGTTTTGACCGAAGTTGTACCCCAGGTGCTCCCGGAGGGGATGACCTGGCTCCCCTTTAGTGGATCCCACACCCAGGGGCCTGCAGGGTGGGTGAGGGCAGGCCCTAGGTGTATCCTGGGCATCCATCTAGAGTCCTCTCCACTCTGCCCCCTTTCTGTCCCCACCCAGGTGGAGGTGCAGGCAAAATGCTGACCCCTTAGGGGCAGAGGGCCGTGCAGGGAGGGAGGGTGGGGTGCTGTCTGCAGGGACGAGAACAGCCCTGGTAAGTGCAGTTAGCCTGGAGAGTATGAGTCCGTGTGTGTCAGGGATGTCTAGTGTGTGTGTGTGTGTGTGTGTGTGTGTGAATATATGTCTAAGTGTGTGTCAGTGTGTTTGAATACATGTGTATACCTGTCTGCACCTGTGTCTGCATTTGTGTGTGTTGATGTGTGTTTCTCCGTGTATGAGTGTATGTGAGCATATATCTACATGTGTGTGTGAGTGTGCATATGTGTATGACTGTGTGTGAAAGCTCTGTGGCCCCCCAGGCCCTTTTCCCACCTCCTCCTCACTCCTGCAGTAGGCTTGGGGAAGGTTCCAGAAGGGCCTTGGGTCCTGGTCATTAATATCTGAGCCTGACCAGCTCTTGGGACCAAGAAGGTCCTTCTGACCTGTCCAGTACCTGGCCAGCCCCCTCCCCAGCCTGGGAAGCACTCAGGCCCCACCCTGCTGCGTGGGCATTGCCTCAGCCTGGCCTTGGTGGCTGGACCTTGGACACGACTGTGCTGTTCTCTCTTTGCATGCTGCCAGGAGAGACCACTATGCCTACTCCTACTACCCGTAAGTAGCTCCACCTTGCCTGGGAGTCCCCGGCCCTGCCTATGGGGAGATCCCCTGCCCCCGCCCTCTCTGGCTGGGCTTAGTCTCACTGCACCCAGTGTGGCCTGGTGTCCACCCCATTCTTTGTGGTCACCTCGGCCTCTGACTTTCTCTCCTCTGCTCTGTCCCTCCCCTCTGCATCTTCTCCTCAAGTCGTGGTCACAAGTGCTGGTTCTGCCCCTCAGAGGCATGGGTTCAGAGCTGGCCCTGCTGAGTTACCCCCGGCAAGTCCCTGAACCTCAATGTCCCCTTCACCACCAGAGCAGCCCCTTACGTTTACTGTTCCGTGTTAGAAGGATGTCCTGACCTCCAACCAAATCCACATTCAGGACACGCTCTGGAGCCTACGTCCATGTGCCTGTGTGTGCTTGTGTGCATGTGGGTGGGGCCTACCTGTTTTGAGACTGGCAGCACCTCCCACAGCACAGGCAACTCTCAGGCCCCCACAGATCCCTTCTCCAGCCAGGCAGCCCCGGCTCTGCAGACCCACCACTTCCTGGGAGCCTCCTCTGGGCCAAGCCCTGTGCTCAGTTCCTGACAGAGTCCTCAAAACAGCTCTGAGAAATAGGAGCTCTTATCACTCCCACTTTACTGATGAGGAAACTGAGGCTTAGACCCAGGGACTTGTGGGAGGTTGCAGAACGCGCCGGAGCTGGGATACAACCCAGGCCCCTGCTGACACCACAGCCTGCCTATGCTACTCTGTCTTCTGTCTCTGTCTTCTACTCTGCAAGCCTTCCAGAACATTCTTCCCGCACCTGTGCTGGTTTTCCCTCGAAGAGCAGGCCCAGAGAGTGCCAGGCCAGCCTTGAGGACAGTGGGTCTCTCACCTTTTCCTCCCTGGATGGCTCCTTACCTTGCTGTTTCCTGACATGAGCTTTTCCAGCAACTCAATACCCAGCGACTCGAGCTGAGCCCCCAGCTCGGCTCCTGTAGGGGCTGTCAACAGACAGCTCTCCCTCCCTGCTGCTTGTGCAGTTAGTTTTCAAAACCAAATGCAGAACTTTTCAAAGAATCTGTATTAAATTCCCTCTGCTTAATCTCGCATTGAGCTCAGCTGGACGCCAACAGCGTTAGGTGTCCCTCCCGGTTTCCATCTTCTGGGGATCGGGTTGGTTTGTTTCTGTAGCTCTTCTTCCAGGTAGGCCAAGAGTCCTGGGCTGGGAACAGAATCTGTGGCACACCACAGGAGACCGCCCTCTAGGCCAGCATCCGCTCACTGACGGGTCCTCTCTGGGCTCCATGTTCAGCCAGGCTGGCCGGCTGTCCTCTGTCCACAGCCCTGTCTCCCCACCTCCTTTTCTCCCTCCCACTTTCCTCCAAGTTCCTTTGAAGCCACAAACTGCCATCCTCATCCATGAAGCTGGGCCTGGAGGGAGAGGAGGTCTCTGTTTCTCTTCCCTGCCGCTCTGAGCAGCAGGACGGACTGGTGGGCAGTGGTGGGAATCTGGACCTTCTGTGGGTCTCTTTACAAGTCTGTGGTGGTCTATGCTGGGACCATCCTGGGTGCTACTGGGAGTAGGGAGAAGCCAAGGGCAGAGTTCATTGTGTGCATAGGGGAAGCCCCCGAGCCCTGGCTGAGCACGAGCCAGACCCTCTGCGGGGAAGGAGGGGTTGTAGTCCCTCCTTCCTGCAGGAGAAAGAGGAGTCTGGAGAGCGGTGCCTGTTTAACACGGGGAGAAGAGAGAGAGGTGGGGACATGCTGGGCCGGGAGCTGGACTAGCCATATTCCTAGTTTGGGGTGCAGTGGGGGTGAGGGGAGCTGTCTGCTGTAATACCACATTAGCTCTGGAGTGACTTTCTTTCCCATTTCCTAAGCCCAGGGGGCCAGTGAAACTTAGGAGTGGGATCCCAGCCTGGGGCCACTGCTGCTCCACCCCTTTCCCTTAGCAGAGGTCCCTAGGACGGGCTCTCCCAAGCCCTTTTCAGGGAAGCAGCAGCTCTGGGTCTAGTGAATGAAGGATGGAGGCAGAGCCCTCAGCATCCAGAGATGCTTCTAGGACAGCTGCTGGCTCCTGGCCTTGAGGCCCCCTTACTCCAGGGCCTCCCCACCCACCTCTGGGTGCTGTCCAGCCCCACACAGTGCCTGTGTCTCCCCTCAACCCCCCTCTCCAGGAAGCCGGTGAACATGACCAAGGCCACCGTCAACTACCGCCAGGAGAAGACACACATGATGAGTGCTGTGGACCGCAGCTTCACAGACCAGAGCACCCTGCAGGAGGACGAGCGGCTGGGCCTGTCCTTCATGGACACCCATGGCTACAGCACCCGGGGTGAGTGCCCGGCCCTCCTACCCCTTCCTCATGGCTCTGGGGCTCCCAACCTGAGACAATAGGGTCCCCACATCAGATGAGTTCTGTAACACCTGCAACCGAAAGTGAAGCATCTATGGTGCTCCTGCTGGATACCTACTGGGTACAGAGCCAGCACAGGTGGCATTTTTGCATCGTGTACTGGAGGAGTCTTGCAAGGAATTCTGCTAGCATGAGAGGAATGCAAGGTCCGTTGTGACAATTGTCAAGAGGAGGTGCTGCTGTAGGAACAGAGGGATCGGAGTGGCCTCACCCCTTATTGAGCACCTGTTATGTGAGAGGTGGGGATACAGTGGCTGAGAGAGACCGATACAGAGTCGGACCTGGGCTTGCCTCTCCCTTTCTTAGCTGTGTGACCTGGGGCAAGTTGCTTAAGCCCTCTGGATGTCTGTTTCCTCATGTATAAGATGGGAATGCAGATCGCCTCTGCTGGTAGGGCTGATGTGAAGACTAAATGAGATAATGTGTGCAAAATCACTTAGGGCTGTGCTTGTATTCACAGAATATAGTGAGTCAGCTGTCATGTACTAGGTCTGTGTCATAACTTGCTTTATCCCACATGTTTTTATTCTGTTTAGTGTTGATTTGTACAGAAGAGAATATGTAATGTTTATGAAAGTCATAAAATCATAACAATACAACAAACAGCAATGAACTTCATTGGTGAATTAGAACATTATCCTGGTACACCTCCCTAGCTATATCCCCTACCTCTTTCTTATATGTAAATATTCCCTTGAAATTGTTGTGGGTTTTTTTTTCTTTTTTTTTTTTTTTTAGATGGAGTCTCACTCTATCGCCCAGGCTGGAGTGCAGTGGCATGATCTCGGCTCACTGTAGCCTCTGCCTCCCAGGTGCAAACGATTTTCCTGCCTCAACCTCCCAGATAGCTGGGATTACAGGCACCTGCCACCATACCCGGCTAATTTTTTTGTTTTTTTGAGACGGAGTCTCACTCTGTTGCCCAGGCTGGAGTGCAGTGGCGTGATCCTGGCTTACTGTAACCTCTGCCTCCTGGGATGGAGCAATTCTTCTGTCTCAGCCTCCTGAGTAGCTGGGATTACAGGTGTGTGCCACCACACCCAGCTAATTTTTGTATTTTTAGTAGAGACAGGGTTTCACCATGTTGGCCAGGCTGGTCTTGAACTCCTGACCTCAGGTGATCCACCCACCTTGGCCTCCCAGAGTGCTGGGATTACAGGCATGAGCCACTGCACCCAGCCAGTTTTTGTATTTTTAGTAGAGACAGGGTTTCACCATGTTAGCCACACTGGTCTCGAACTCCTGACGTCAAGTGATCTGCCCACCTTGGCCTCCCAAAGTGTTGGGATTACTGGCGTGAGTCACTGTGCCCAGCCTCCCTTGAAATTTGTGTTTATAATTTTCCTGCCTCTTTTGGGGGTAGTTTTTTGTTTGTTTGTTTGTTTTTTTGATGGAGTCTCGCTCTGTCACCCAGGCTGGAGTGCAGTGGCACGATCTCCACTCACTGCAAGCTTCGCCTCCCAGGTTCACACCATTCTCCTGCCTCAGCCTCCTTAGTAGCTGGGACTACAGGCGCCCGCCACTGCGCCCGGCTAATTTTTTGTATTTTTAGTAGAGATGGGGTTTCATCATCTTAGCCATGATGGTCTCGATCTCCTGACCTGGTGATCCACCCGCCTCGGCCTCTCAAAGTGCTGGGATTATAGGCATGACCCACCGCGCCCAGCCTTTTGGGGGTTAGTTTTACCATGTGTACATATATCCCCAAACAATGCATTGTATAGTTTTGCTCATTTTCAGGCTTTATAAAAATGAAATCACACACTACTTCTTAACTTAACATCATATTTCTAAAATTTACCCATGTGGATATTTTGCTGCAGTTCATTTACTTTACAAATGCGTAGTTTCCCATTGTATGGCTGTATCACAATTGACTTCTTCATTCTGCCATCCATGGGCATTCGATTGGTTTTTAGTTTTCTTGTTATCACAAATGAGACTGCTATGAATATTCTGATGTGGATCTCTAGATGCACCTGCACACAAGGTTCTAGAAATAGAATCGCTGGATTATGGAGTACATGCATCTTCAGCTTAATAAGAGTGCCAAGTTGCTTTCCAAAGCAACTCTGCCTGTTTTCTTTCCTAGCAGCAGTAAGAGTTTCTGTTGCTCTACATCAAGATCAAAATTTGCCAGCCTTCTTCACTTCTGCCACATTGGTTTGTATAAAATGGTAATTCTCTATAGTCTTAATTTGCATTTCACTGATGACTAATGAGGTTGAACAGATTTTCAAGTCATCATTGGCCATTCAGGTCTGTTTTTCTATGAAATGCCTGTTCATGTCTTTCACCTAATTTTCTATTGGGTTTTCTGTTGCTTTCTTAGTGGTTTTTAGGAGTTCTTTATATTTTTAGGATAATAATCATTTGTCACTTATGAATTGCAAATATCTTCTCCCAATTTGTGGCTCATCTTCCTAGGTTATTTATAGTGTCTTTGGATGAACAGAAGATTTTTATTTTCATGTACTTAAATTCATCAGTCTTTTTCTTTGTGATTTCTGCTTTTTGTGTTTTTTAAAGAAGTTTTCCCTACCCAAAGTTATCAAGTATTTTTTTTTGTGCTTTTTTTTCTAGAACTTATAACATTTTACATTTTATATTTAAATCTTTATCCATCTGGAATTGATTTTTGTGTGTGGTGGTATAAATTAAGGATTTTATTTTTTCCATGGCGATAAGCCACTGTCCCAGCATCATTTATTATAGTTCACGCTTTCCCTGCTGATTTGTGGTGCCATCCTTCTTGCACACCACATTTCTACAGATACATGGATCATTTTTCAGTTCCCTGTTTTTTCATTGGTCGTTTTCGTTGATTCCCAACCACATGGTCTAATTATCGATGCTATTTAAGTCTTGATATCTGAAACATGAAGCCGTGCCAACTTTGTGCTTCATCAAGGATGTCTTGCCTATTTTTGTTTTCATTCTGTCTCTCTTTCTTAATGAGATAGAGTCTAGCTCTGTCACCCAGGCTGGAGTGCAGTGGCACAATCTGGGCTCACTGCAACCTTCACCTTCCGGGCTCAAGCGATCTCCCACCCCAACCTCCCAAGGAGCTGGGACTACAGGGGCACACCACTATGCACAGCTAATCTTTGCCTTTTTTTTTTTTTTGGTAGAGATGGGATTTCACTATGTTACTTCAGGCTGGTCTGAAACTCCTGGGCTCCAGTGATCTGCCCGCCTCAGCCTCCCAAAGTGTTGGGATTACAGGCATGAGCCATCACGCCTGGCTAATTCTCTTTGTTATAAATTTTAGAGTCATCCCTTTAAGTTTCTTGAAAAACTTTGTTGGATGGATTTGTATTGAATTTATAGATCAATTTGGGAAGAACCGACATCTTATGAAATTGTCTTTCTACCCATGAAAGTGACGTATATTGCCCCATTTATTTAGGTCTTGAATGTCTTTCAATAATTTTCTCCATAAAATCTTGTACATCTTTTTTTAGATAGATGTCCCTAGGTTCTTTATTTTTGACTTCTATTGCAAATGGTACACTTTTCAAATATTACGTTTCTATTTCTTATATAGAGAAATGCAGTTTATTTTTGATTGTATATTGATCTTATACTTTTTTTTTTTTTCTTTGAGAGGGAGTCTTACTCTGTCACCTAGGCTGGAGTGCAGTGGCGCAATCTCGTCTCACTCCAACCTCTGCCTCCCTGGTTCAAGTGATTCTCCTGCCTCAGCCTCCCAAGTAGCTGAGATTACAGACATGCGCCACCACGCCCAGCTAATTTGTATCTTTTTAGTAGAGATGGGGTTTCACTATGCTGACCAGGTTAGTCTTGCACTCCCGACCTCAGGTGATCACCCACCTTGGCCTCTCAAAGTGCTAAGATTACAGGCGTGAGCCACCGTGCCCAGCCTTATATTCATATTTCTTGATATGCTTTCTTATTCTCATTTGTCTGTAGAATGTTTCAGGCTTTCTAAGCAGTTAAAGGATCTGTGAATATCCTTTGCAGAAGAAATAGTTGTTTCTTCTTTCCCATTTCTTATTATTTTTTTCCCATATTTTTCTGGCTGGGACCTTCAGTACTGTATTGAATAGAGTGGTTGTAGCGGGAATCATTGTCTTCTTTTCCTGATTTTAAAAGTAATGTTTCTAACATTTAAACACAGAATGAAGATTGCTTTGGGGTTTTGGTAGAAATGCTTTTATCAGGCTAACCAAGTTCCCTTTAGTTTTTAGTTTGCTGAGAGGTTTTAAGTGGGCATTAAACTTACCAAATATTTTTTTCTGTAATCATTGTGATAATTATTTTTTTCCCCTTTTGTCTGCTAATGGGATTAGTGACATTTTTAGGTTTTTAAAAAAATTATCTTAAATTCAGGGGATAAATTCAACTCGGTCATGATGATTATGATGTTTCTTTTCTTTAGTTTTTTTTTTTTTTTTTTTTTAGATGGAGTCTCGCTCTGTTGCCAGGCTGGAGTGCAGTGGCGCAATCTCGGCTCACTGCAACCTCCACCTCCCGGGTTCAAGCAATTCTTCTGCCTCAGCCTCCCAAGTAGCTGGGACTACAGGTGCCCGCCACCAAGCCCGGCTAATTTTTGTACTTTTACTAGAGACGGAGTTTCACCATTTTGGCCAGAATGGTCTCGATCTCTTGACCTCATGATCTGCCCGCCTTGGCCTCCCAAAGTGCTGGGATTACAGGTGTGAGCCACCGTGCCTGGCCGATGTTTCTTTTCTTTCTTTCTTTTTTTTTCTTTGAGATAGCGTCTCACTCTGTTGCCCAGGCTGGACTACAGTGGTGTGATCATGGTTCACTGCAACCTCAACCTCCTGGGCTCAAGTGGTCCTGCCACCTCAGCCTCCTGAATAGCTGGCACTACAGGTGCCCACTGCCATGCCACGCTTTTTTTTCTGTATTTTTTTGTAGAGACAGGGTTTTGT